CGGGGCAGCGCGACGCCCAAGCGAGAGCAATCGCTCGCCGAGACCCCGATCGGCGCGGGGGGAGAGGGGCGGGGCGACGGAGAGGCGGTGGGGCCGAAGGGGAGACACAAGTAGGGATGAGGGAGGGATGGAGGGATCGGGGAAGAGGGTGGAGCCCTTACACCCCGCCGTCCCCCCCCCATGCGGCTTGGACACCCCCAGGCACCCTCCACATCTCTGTGCAGAGACCCACACCCCCTACCCCCATGCACACCCTGCACTCCCAATGCAACCCACATACACCTCCACGTACCTCCCATACGCACCCCGTACCCACTATGGACACCACACACCCCCTTATACCACCCTATGCACCCCCCCATTCCCTATGTACTCTCCCCATATCACCCTATTCCCACCCCCTCATACACACCCCTCTACCCCCCATATCGCCCTATTCCCACCCCCACACTTCCTTACGCAGCCTCCATGCACCCCCCCGTGCCCCCCGCCGGGGCCGGAGCGCAGGGCCCCTGCYGGTCCCGCCACGCCGCTGCCGCCGGGGACGGGCCCAGCTCCCCTGTTTTGCCCGCCCCGGGGCTCCCCTCCGCCCCGCTGTGTTGGTGGCAGCCACATGCACAACGGGACAAGGCAGCTTTATTTGCAAAGGGCTAAGGCAGTGACAGGGGGGTGTCCCCTGGGGGTGGAGAGGACCTGCCCCCTCCAAGGGGTCCTGTTGCTCCAGAGGCACCGGAGGCCTCAGGTGACACCCCTCACCCTGAGCAGGAGGCGGGGGGCAACCCCCCTTTAAGGCCACTGGAAAGATCSGGGGAGCCTGGAGGTGGCTGAGGGTGACCCCCCCACACCATCCCCAGGGCCCCCCATAGGGCTGGGGTCCCCATGGAGGCCTGAGCAGGGCAAGAGTGCACAGAGGGGCTGTCCCACAGGGAACTCTCCAGTCCTCAGGACCTCCCCCTGCCAAGCACCCCCAGCCTTGCAGCTCCCTGTTGAGGGGGGTTCACCCTGTTGGGGAGGTGACGCCGCTCGGCGAGGAGGGGGTGCCACCCCCGGCGATGTCCTTAGAGCAGCACGCAGTCCGAGTCTGCCTTCGGCCGCTGCCTCCGCTCAGCGGCCGCCCGGGCACCCGGCAGCGCACAGCCCTGCGGGGACAGAGCAAGGGCTGGGAAGGCACCATGGTCCCCATGGTCCCTAGCAGCAGGAGCTGCTCCCGGGAGCTGGGAACAGCAGGGAATGCGCTGGAAGCTGGTACCTGCGCGGGCGCCGGCCGCTGCTGCTGATACTCCTCCTGCTGCAGCTGCCGGGCGAGCTCGAGGTCGCTGAGCGCCGACGGGCCCTGGCCCTGCTCTTGCTGCAAGGACAGGGCCACCATGTAGTCCTGGGGACACAGGAGAAGGCACAGAAGGGATCAGCGCCCGCGCAGGGGACACCACACAGGTCCCCTCCCTGCCGCCACGCACTGTCCCCGACCTGGTCCACTTGGCTGTGCGTGTGCCGTGAGGAGGCCACGGCGGCCGCCGACTTGCCCAGCACCGGGCTCAGGCGGAATTGGGTGTCGCAGAAGCAGCTATCGCCGTCCACAGTGTGCAGGCTCTCCCACACCACACCCTCCTCCTGCAGGAAGCCCTGGTCTGTCACCAGGAGGTACAGGTGGCCCTAGAAAGAGGGGACAAGGGACAATCAGGCCTGCTGCCAAGGAAGGGAGGACCTCCAGGACGGAATCCGCCACGGATGCTGCCAAAACTCATTATTTTGTGCCGCAGTGGTCTCAACCTTGTGCTTTATCATGGTGCTGAAGTGGTTGTTGCGGAAGAAGACGCTCAGCTCCTCTTCCTTCACGGCGGCCGTGAGCTCGCAGAGCCCGTGGTAGGTGAGCTGCGAGGCCGTGGACTCCAGGAACTGCTCCGCGATGAGGCCTGCAGCGAGAGCGGCCTCAGACAGCAGCAGGACCCGGGGGCGTTCGCTGGACCTCGACCCAAGCAGGTGCTGCCCAAGGCTATCTTGGGGCCGTTACCTTCGGTCACCAAGTTGGAGTCACTCGAGTGTTTGCATGTTATGATCTTCTCCACCAGCTGGTTGTAGCTGAGCTTGCCCACGGCCTGCACCACGTCGGGGCTCTGCGGGGACAGGAAGGGATAGAACAGGGTGAGGATGAGTTTAGAGCATCCTGCCCTGCTGGGCACCAACCCAGAGAGAACAGCTTGGGCTGCAGCCCCCACTCCCACAGAGCAAGCTGCATTTGGTGGCACCTCAGGGCCATCCAACCATGTCCACATCCTCCCAAAGCCAGGAGAGCAACCAGGACCATATCCATTCCCAAAGAGGCTTTTTCAGCCACGCCAGATCCACCAGCCCGTTGCATGGGGATACATGAGGCCCCTGGAACTGCCTCACCTGCGGGTCCACCAGCCAGCCATGGTAGAGCGGGACATTGAGGAGGTCAAAGACGATGCACTCTGGCGTGTACTCAAAGTCCGAGACGCCCGTGAAGCGCACGTTGACATCCAGCCCCGTTGAGAGCTTGGGGAGTACCATCATGGTGTCGTTGACGTTCTGCAGGGGAGACAGCAATGGCTCTTGCTTGGCGATCGGAGCCAGGAACCCCAAGGCTTGCGTCCCAACCCAAAATCCCCTGGTTTTACAGGCTGGGCAGCTCCCCTAGATGGGGTAGTGCTGGGCACAAAGGGCACGTTGCAGGTAGACCATCTTTTTGGCAACCTGTGGCACTCTGTCCCTCAAAGTCCTGCAGAAGATAAGCAGGCAGGTCTGTTCCCCCCAGGCAACACTATTCCTCACCTGCTGGAAGTTTAGCTGCAGCCCTTCCGATTGCTCTTGGGGTTTGATGGATAAGATGCAGTCCCCTTCAATAGAGCAAACATGGTTGTGAGTCCCAGCACCTTCCCCACGACCTCTCTTCCTCCAACCCAGCCCCAGTTGAGCTCTCTGCCTCATGGGAGCAAGGAAACATTGGCATCAGAGGGCTAAATGCTGTGCCCAAAGGCACATACTGAGCCAGGATCCTAACCTGGCTTCCTTCACACCCCAGGATCTGCCCTCCCTCTGGTCTTGCCATCCCGCTGCTGAGACATAAGGGATCTGGTCTATCCTGGAGCCTGTCTCCAATTCCTCCTCCTCCACACGCAGGACGGGAACACGTCTTTGAAGGCTAAGTACCAGGAACGGGAGATTCGGGGCTGAAGAGCAGGGGAGAAAGGGCAGAGATCCCTATGGCTGACAAAGAAGGGACAGACCTGCAAGCAGGGCAGCGCGTTGAAGACCCTGCCCCACAGAGGTCTCACATTCCCAGGAGTGTGCAGGGACACTGGGGCAGGTGTCACCTGCCCCCAGGCCCCCGGCACGGCCCCAGCTCACCCAAATGCGCCATCAGTTCGTCTGACGTGATCACCTCCTTCTGCGGGGGCAGTTTCACCTGGCAGCAGAAGAGATTGGGGACCATTAGCACAGCCAAAGGACTGGGTTCCACCTGAACATCCTGAACATTGGTCGCAGCACAATGATGAGGACATAAACAGTCCTGCTTGGTGTTCTATGGGACAAAATGTGCCTGGCCTTCACCAGCGCCCCGTGTCTCTCCATGCCACTCACCTTCCACTGCAAGAAGAGGATGTTCATGATGGCCAGGAGTGGGCAGGGCCCGTTCTCGCTCTGTGTGATGACCGGAGTCCGCTCGCCTTTCCACGTAATCCACTTCACGCAGTAGAAATCCGGCTCGGGCTCCCGCTCCCGGCTTGCGAACGGGGCCTTGGTGGGCTCGGCCGCCGGCTCCGCAGCCCTCGCACCTGGGCCAGGCCTAGAGGCCTCTCCAGCGGTTGGGCCGCTCTTGGCCCCAGGGCTCTCCTGGATGCCTTTGCTCTCCTCTCCCACGTTCTCACTCTCCGGCCGCGCAGCGTCACCCACAGAGAGAAGGTCCAAGGCGCAGCGCAGCTCTTCCTGTTGCTGACCGGGCAGCGTGGCCTCCTCCTCGACGCACTGGCTCCTGTCCTGCCCACTGCTCTCTTGGCTTTCACTTGGTATTTCTGCCCTCTCAACAACCTCTTCGAACCCCTGAATGGCCTGGCAGGTTTGGAGGATGGTCCCTTCATCACTGGCACCTTCCCCCTTCATCAGGACAGGCTGCTGGGGCTCCATGGTGACTGTCCCAATGGGGCTGGATCCTGTCCAGCTAYGCGCTGGCCTTTCCTCTCCAGGAGGCAGGGAAAAGAGCGGGAGCCCTTCCTGAGAGCGGGCTCTGTGTCCAGCTCAGAGAGGTAGAAACTCTCCAGGAATGTCCAGGAATAGTTGCATCCTACGTTTTCCTCTTTTGAGAATAAGGAAACACAGGTATTTCAAGACAAAATATATACGTTAGTCCAATTAATTCATCAAACGTGACTTGTTTAGCCAAAGCTAAGTATAGGTTATTTTTTCCTCCTTTTAGACTCAATTAAATAAGCAAAACTAAAGCATATCTAAGAATTAATATCTGAAAGACTCCAATAAGGCAGATTTTAAAGGGCCTATTTATTAAAGGCTGAGTCCTGCTCCTAGAGGCTGTTTATTCTGCGAGGAGTCCTCCTTAGCTATTTAATAAAGTCTTTATTAGGCACTCGGATGTTCTCATGAAAGTTTTGCTGCTTTTCTAAAGGACTTTCTGCTCCCCTCTGCAAAAAAAAAACGGAATCCYGCAGCAGTGTTGGGGCTGCCACGCACTGATTGGTGTCGAGGCGAGCAACCCCAGGCCTGCCTCCCTCTCCAGCTTTAAATTCAATTATTCACCCCCAACAAAACACAATATTCCCCCTACTCAGCATTTGTGTATGGACACGCACCCATTGGGGGATCGCACCTCAAAATCCCTTTCGAAAATAGTAATAAAAAGAAGTGCATGTGCATTATAGCTGCCTTCCATCAGCCTCTAAAGCAGGGAGGGCAAAAATAAAACAAAAAATAGAAACTAAGTGATTCAATGCAAAGCCATAACCTTCGGCTGACAAGTTTAACCCGTGAACTTACATGAGTGCAGCTGGGAACTGGGGACAGAGATGATCCTACAGACAGTGTTTGCAAACCTGCCTTTGTTTTCCCAATTCTCTCCCCGCCAGCCTCCAAGGATCTCCACAGCTCCGAATTCTTTCCCTGTCATCCGTTTCTCTCCCACGTGGAGGTCGCAGCAGCCCCAGGGCGGCTTCTCGCTCGCTTGCCTCGGGTTCTTCAGCCTGCTGCTCGCTGTCTTCGTGTGAATCCCTTCGCTTGGAGCTGACTGCGCTTCAGATGGCAGAGAAGCACCACAGGGAGCTCTGGGCAGAGAGCAAGGAAACAAGCCGGAGGAATTGCCATGTTATCAGGCTGTCGATAATTGGGCTTTCTCAAAGTCCAGAGCACGACAGCCTGGGCCTTTGGCAGGTGAGGATTTCAGGTGGCACCCTGGACACTCCGGCATATTCCACTCACTGCCATTTTCACACTTTTTCTCCTCAATTCCCCACCTCAACCCTCCCTGCATGGCTCTCCGCAGCAGCAACATGCCCCTAAGCTGACTCACCCGGAGATCTTCTTATTCCTTAAGCTTTATCCCTCTGTCTCCTCCCGCCACCACGCAGCCTTTGCAGCTCTCACCTAAGCTCCCGGGTGAAACCCAAGCCGGGGGCAACTCCCGGCAGATGGGAAAACACCCTCCAAAGCACCTACATTCCCAGAGGGACTTGAGCGCTCCTCCCCAAGCACATGGGGATAGAGGGGCCACAGTGCCATCCTGAGACACTTGCGAGGGGAACAGGGGGACAAACACAGAGCAAACCCAAGCAGCGCATGCCCCACATAGGCACCGTCTGGGCTTTACCAGAGCTTTGCTGATGTTGCTCTGCCAAGAGGGGAAAAGGCAAAGCAATAAGAAAGAAGGAGCCCTCTTACAGCTGCCTGCATGGCCACGAGCTGCCCCGGGGACGCAGACAGCAGCAGAAAGGACAAGCAGGTTTGTTACCCCGCTGTGTAAGGCTTTCCTATGCCATCTTACAGCCTTGCTAATTAGACCTTGCATTAATAGAGGGGATGGTAATGACCAGGCAGGCTCCGCAGTTGCCATTTGTTCCCCTCTGTTTGCTCCTCTGCTTGCTCCTATGTGAGGAAGGGAAATTTCCAGGGCAATAAGTGAGGAGCAGTCAGGCTAGAAATGCATCCAAAGCTGAGACAAACTTGTAGGCCCATCCTCCAAAAAGGGCTGAAAACCCCAAAGGGTGCAGACGAAGCCTGGTAAAGGTTCAAGGGCAGAACTGTCACGGGCCTCTCTGAGCTCAGGTTTTATCCTAGCCCTATGCTAGGGATTTGCTCAATGCTGCTCGTCCAGGCTCACGGAAAAGGGCTCAGCTGGATTCACTTCCAAGACAGGCCGAGCTAGCTTGGCAAATCCCGGGAGCTCACGACAAGCATCAGCACATCCCATTTTCCAGATGGTTTTCCAGATTCGGAGGCCCCCAGCAGCTTCACATCACACAAGTTACAGCCTTCAAAGCTGCGGGCGGGGTGAGCGCGGCTTCATTTGGCATTTGTACCAAAGCGGCACCATTGGATCCTGCCTTCCGCAGCCTCCCTGGGTGTTGTGGCAATAAAGAGTCACGTCGCTACCCAGGCGGCCCTCGAACAAGAACCCCAGCAAGGACAGCTGGAGTCTCTGGCCTGCAGGGTTTCATTTAGGAAAGGAAATGCAAAAGGAAGGCGAATAGCTTCCCGACACCAAAAAATATAAAGCAATCCCAAAAGGACAGCGCTGCAAAGGCGAAGTTTTAACAAGCTTTAATATCACCGGGATGGTAAGTGGGGAGTCTGTGGCTTTAGAGCCGACCCGGGAGCCTCTGGACCTGCCTCTGGAGCCACTACAGCCTCAGCCTTACACAAAAATGACTCACAGGTAGGAAGCAGGAAAAAAATAACCCACTGAAACAGCCTCGTAAATGCACTCATCTCCAGTGGGAGCTGCAGCGTAAAAAAACGAAGAGAAATTCGGGCCTGGAGCCAGGAGTGCACTTAAACACACACGCCGACTCAGGGACCAAGTGGGCTTAAGAAGGAGGAGCACTGAGTCCAAAGTTAAGCGCACGCTTAAATGCTCGCCTGGATGGAGGCCACAAGCAGGTGCTGATTCCTACCTTGCCCTACACCAAAACAGGACTCCAGAGAGAGAAAGTGGGAGAAAAGATGGGAAGGGAAAGGAAGGGAATAAACCCCAAGGAGGGGAAGGAGCGCGAAGGAGCGGGCGCAACCCTGCGCAGGCGGTATGGCGGCTCCCCCATCCTGCCCAACCGGCTGCYGAAGCCCCGGGGGCTGCGACGCGGCCCCACAGCCCTTCCCGGCTACCTGTGTCTCCTTGGGAAACAGACGGCGACAGGAGCTCCGAGCCCTCCCTTTTGGCGCTCCTTACTCCACGGGCCTTCGTGGCCTCTTCGGGGCTGCTCCGCTCGTCACCTGCTCGCCAAGAACAAACGTTCGGCCGTGGGGACAGGGCCGCTCTCCCGAGGGAATCCCGGGCAGGGCTCTCCCCGCCGGCTTCCCAGCGCGTCCCGCTCCACGGAGGTGTCCCCGGGGAGCTGTCCCACTGTGGCAGTGACACCCCCGGGTCACACCGACGTGTCACCAGCACCCACAACGGACACAGCCCGCCCGGCCTGTGGCCGCCTCAGCTTCCCCAGGTGGACCGCGGGTTGGGGGCTGCCGGGACGCCGAGTTCCCCCCTGGACACCGCTCAGGAACGGGGGCGGTTGGGCCAACAAGTGGGGAAAACCCCCTCACCGCCGTCAGCCGCAAACCGCCCGTTTTTCCCCCCAAAACCCGCGGGGCACGGGCAGCCCGGGCCAGGCCGCCGCGCTCACCTCGCCGCCGCCATGGCGGGCAGCCTCTTCCCTCCTCTCTGCCCCCTTTCGCCCTCTCGTCCCCCGCGTCCCCGCGCAGGCCCCGCCGCCGCCAGGCGCCTTCCCGGCGCTGAGGCTTCCGCGGCGGCTCCGCCGGCGGGGCGGGCCCGGAACCGGGAGCGGGCGGGGGCCGGGGGGGCGGAACAGAAAGGGCAGCTCCGCCTTTTTTTATTTTTTTCCTTTTTTTTTTTTTTT